TTTTTTCCCCCATTTTGTCTCTCATAGTTGAGGTATACCTATGATGAAAATTACAGGCCTCTCTCATCTTTTTAAGCGGAACCTGCACAATTGGTGGCTGACTAAATACTTTTTTGCCCCATTGTAGTTTTGAATGTTATTTTGGTCTTCTAGGATATAAGCTATCCCACCCAATTTTGTTTCATATGGAACTCTATGGATGAAGAAGTAGAACAAATGCTCAACAATATTAATACTTAGTATTAATGAAAATATTGAAGAGTAGAGGACCCCAAATGAATCCTTTTGGCATCCCACTTGATAGTTCTCTTTAATTTATTGAGCAACCACCGATGAGCACTATTTATTACTACTGAGCTAACTATGTATCCAAATAGTTGTCATACAATCAAGCCCACACTTAACTAGCTTGCTAATCAGTATGTCCTTTGTCAACTTATTTGCTGAAATCATGGTGTATTTTGTGTTGTGTTATATTCTGTATTGACTGAGTTGCAGTCAGTAAATAGCAAATTTAGCTTAGCTTTTTCCATGACACCACATATTAGTTCTAAATCTCCTCCCGCCCACAGAGTTCCATGTCTCCATACTTACACTGATTCAGATCTTCATAGGTGTGTGTTCATCTGAAGGAATATCTTGTAGTGGGCAATTCACTGCTGTTGAAACACACAGTTCAACCTTTTCAACTGCAAAGCATTTTTTCTTAGAATTTAACTCACTCAAGTGCTCGTATCTATAGTGACAGTGCCTTGACATCTTTAAAAAAAACCAAGAACTTTAGATCAGTAAAGTAGTAAACAGGTAGGGGTAATTCACTCTTTTGTTATTTGTTCTTCTTAAAATTTTAGGCTTGGCGAGAGAAAGATGAGGCACTCTTTCCTATTTTTGTTGTTGTTGGGTGGTGGTGGGGGGGTTGCCTTAAAATCATTCCTTCCCAAAGCAGCTGTGCTTTATTTATATTTTCATTTTCTAAAAAGCACTTTACATGTGATAGAGTAATATTTAGATGCTTTAGGCAACATAAAAATGTCCATTTGTGTAAGACTTCTTTCATTTTCTGTAGAAATTCTCAGCATGTATAGCAAGGCGACTTTTTACACATTCACCTGTTTCAATATTGTAATTATTATAATTTTTTAAAAAGCAATATTCTAAAAGAGAAAACTTAAAGGGAAACACAATGCCATTGCATCCACAGATCATTCCGCAGTATCATCTGTGGTTTCTGCCTCTGCCCCATCTGTATACAGTGTTCAAGCTCTCACTCTCCTTGCAGAGGTAAGTCTCAGGTTTTTGTTGTAGTTGTTTGCTGAGCAATTAGCAGTTCTATAACTACTGCTTTTCATATATGCATATGTGTGAACACAGGTCTGGAATGCCACTTTAACTCCTTTGCAACAAGCATAAAGTGCTTGACTTTTCTGAACTTTGCAGTACAAACGCATGACTTGCATAGCAAAATCAAAGCTGTTAAGCTATGCCTAATTATAGCACACAATAAAAGTTGGGGTTATTCTGAATTTTCAGTATACTTTTTCTACCCAGAAGCATGTCCTCTTTAACATGGAATATTGTTTCTGTAGGTTCTTGCTTCCCTCCTGGATATGGTTTATCAAAGTGATGAAAAAGAGAAAGCAGTGCCATTAATCTCACGTTTGCTATACTATGTGTTTCCTTACTTACGCAATCACAGGTAAATCCATTTGTCTTTGGATATATATATCCATTATATATATATAATGTACTTTATAATGTACACTATCTTGGACCAGCCCAATTACAGGTAGTCCTTGGTTAATAGCCACCCATTCAGCAACCATTCAGTTACGATGGCGCTGAACGAGTGGTGGTTATAACTGGTTGTTGAAGTCCCGGCCATCCCAGCAACCCCATCATCACGTGATCACGGTGTGGGTGCTTGGCAACCTGCTCACACTTATGACAGTTGCAATGTCCTGCGGTCACATGATCGCAATTTGCAACCTTCCCTGCTGGCTTCCAACAAGTAAAGTCAATAAAGAAGCCAGCAGGGAAGGTTGCAAGTTGCTTGGGTAAGTCTCCCTCACTCACATTCCCTCCCTAAGACTCACTGCACTCATGCTGCACCTCCCCAGCCACTCACGCACCGTCATGCATCATCCCCCACCCAGCAGCAGCCACTCCAAGCCCTGCCATGCTCACACCATGACTGCCCACCACTCACACACCGTCATGTACCCTCTCCCACACAGCAGCAGCCATCTCAAGCCCTGTTGCACTCGTGCTGTACTTCCCTGGCCACCTGCACACCCCCTTGTTCCCCCTCCCATTTGGCAGTAGCCACTTATGTGCCTTCCGGCCAGCTTGCAACCCGCCTGGGACTTGTAACTTCCTGTTGGTTTCTCCACTGACTTTGGTTGTTGGAAGCTGGCAGGAAGTTACAAGGAGGTGCTACCCACGATCCTCGCTTAACAATGGAACAGGTACTGCAGGGATTGCCATTGCTAAGTGATGCAGTCATGTGACATTGCGCTTTACAATCACATTACTTAGTGACCGAAATTCTGGTCCCAATTGCCATCTTAATTCAAGGACTACCTGTATTTTATTACCTGGGTCAGAGCTTCAAATGCTGCCCCCTCCCTAAATTAAGGTACATGGTTTTCTAGGCTGAATAAATTATTTTAGCACCTGAGGCAGAAAACTTCTCAAATGTCCCTCCCCTTTCTAACACTGAAAATATACTTGATAATAAATTAAATAACTAGCACTTTGGTGTCCTTTATATATAATCTACTGCCTGATGTGGCAGCTTCTTTTAGTCCAGTGGTATAATGAGTCCTGTTCTTCACTACACAACTTAAGCTATTCCACTAACGCTACTCTGTAATATGTTGCTTAGCACATAAACTGAATTTTAAGTAAATCAGCACTGTAGAATTTAGTATGTGAAGATATGCAGTGTAAGAATTGTGTACATGTATGTGATCTGCTTATTTTATGTTTGTGTCTTTACAGTGCCTATAATCTTCCTAGTTTCCATGCTAGCTCTCAGTTGCTAAGTTCCCTAAGCGGCTATGCCTATACCAAACGAGCATGGAAGAAAGATGTTTTAGACTTATTTATGGATCCTGCTTTTTTCCAAATGGATACTTCATGCATTCAGTAAGATATACATTTACAGCAATCCTGTGGCTTGTTTTTGATTGAACTAACTGGCAAATTGCAACAGGTTATAGTTCAGTTGTAGTTCTAAGTTGCATTTGGAATCAATGTCAGTTAGTAAAAATTCACTGACCTTCATTAAATGAATATGATATCATCACTCTGCAGAGAAAATTTTCTTAATACTATTTTCATCCTTTATTTTTTCTGAAGCATGATTTTACAGAAATGCAAGATTTCATGAAACTTTAAATTCTTGTGGCACCTGAAGAACTAACACATTTATTATAGCATAAATTTGTGGGTTATAATGCACAAAAGATTATTTTATAATAAACACATTAGTCTTTAAGGTGCCATAAGAATCTTGGATAATTTTGCTGCAAAAAAGAAATATGATTAACCCCCCCCCCAGTAGTAATTAAAATGATGATATTTCCAAAATAAGAAGTCAGCTTTATAGAACTTCAGTTATAAAACTTTATAGTTCTTATGACTTATCTTGTCATAAATGAAAAACATGTGCACCAGATTTCATAGACTCACTATGCAAAATATTTGCACAATTTTCAGGGGGTGACAGTGCAATCTTCTTTTAGATTTGCTTCACATAAAATGATGAATGGTTTCCATTTAAATTACACTAAACTTTTTTTTCCCAGCTGGCGCACCATTATTGATCATCTACTTACACATGAAAAAACTACGTTTAAAGATTTGATGAGTAAGCATTTCCCCATAATTGTTGTTTTCTGCTATAAAATATAGAATTGAATAGAGAATACAAATAGAGAATTGAAAGATGAAGAAGAAAATAAAGTATTTATTTGTTAATTTAGTAGATTTTATATAATGCCACTACCAAAGTTTTTGTCAATTTAGACTCAGAAAAAGTTGAAAACTAAATTCCACTAAGAATATAAAATGTGAATAAAGTTAATAGCCTGTACAATAAGATGCACTATAAGACCTTGTAAAAGGTGCACTATATAGTTAGGACCCTCAGTAGAAAGTAGTAGATTTTTTGGCTGAATTTGCACTTGTGCTAGTGATAAATAATACTTTCATTATGTATTTTATTTATTTATTGTTAAATAGTTAGAAACCAGAAAGATGTTATATAAATATTCAAATAGTATTCAACATACATAGCAAAGAAATAGTTATAAAATGTCCAATCCAACATCTTGTAGTGAAGATTGTCGTGACAAGACAAATAACATGTATAGAGTTTTGCAAAATGAAATGAAATGAAATGAAATAATGAAATGAAATGGTCAGGCTTTGTAAAGGTGAGTACAAACATAACTCATTGTTGGGTATACCCAGCAGCTTCTAACAGCAGTAGCAATTGCTAGAAATATTTCAGTTAGAAATAATTGACATTTCTATAAGTGATGTCATAATAGCTGATCGTTAAACACTGAGTGTACTTGGTCTGACAGTTTACTAACAAGGTGTGTGCAGGGAGCTCAAGATGCCAAGTATGATATCAAGGGCAGTTTAATAGCATATGACTCATATGCTTCTATTATCATCTTGATCCTTGTACCAGATAAGACAGTTCTTGGGATAGATATGTCAATACTGACATCTATTATCTTGATTATAGATATGCAGAGCAGTTCCCTGAAACTCTTTCCAAGTTTTGAGCAAAAGCCAATGTTGTTAAAACGTCAAGCCTTTGCTGTTTTCAGTGGTGAAATTGATCAATATCACCTTTACCTTCCTTTGATACAAGGTAATAATTTGTTTAAGTTTATAGATGAAGGACGTGATGTAATGTTAACCAAAAAGGATAAAACAATTTTTAGAGTTAAGTAAGGTTATAAGCAATAGTTTCTATATATGTGGCAGTGGAAGTCTGGAATTATGCACAGATACATTCTTTTTTTTGTTTTAATAATTGATTCAAACACCATACAGCTTATAAGTGAGAATGGCTTGTATATCTTTTAGAGTAAAACAGTCTTTTCCAATTTGATGCTTTTTGATACACGCCATTTTCACTCACATTATCCTCCTAGCCAACATGGTAAACGCAGCAAGTAACTTGTAAACAGGAATTGCCAATAAGATGATCATTGGATGTCCAGATATTATCCCCCAGATTCAAAATCCACTAAATAAGGGATCTATTAAACCAAGATTCTACTTTATTCACACAAATACACAGATATACTCATTATTCTCCATACATAAAAAGGACAGGTTCCTGTCCAACATTAGAGGTAGGGAGATGATTGTCTCCTTTGCAGTTCTAGGATGGGCTAATCACACTCAATTCACTATTGACTCAACATTATGATATGAAGGTTAGTTAAATTGTACAGCCATAGGTGTTACCTGATAAATATTGCAACTTTGGTCTGCGTGTCACTTGGCAACACCATGGCATCATCTGGGCCTTTTATTTAGACAAAGAGATGAACCTCTCTTGAGCATCTGTAGGCAGGCAGGAATATGAGCGGGAATGACAAAACATGCATCATGAAGCAAGAACCACAACACATACAGTTTAATGAAACATGGGTATGTGAAGGCAGGATCTGCATAACTTCCCAGCACACATCTCATCATTTTGAAGTAATCGCAGCTTCCTGTGGATTCCTGTGCCCTTGATGCTTTAGTTTTGCTCATACAATTCTGCATCTTCATCAAGATTATCAGTTTTACCCCTTAAAAATCACTTACAAGTGATTCTTCTGGTAACATCAATTTTGTTGACATACACACTGCCAGCTATTTATTTGAAATTCATTCTTTCTCTTAGCCCTTTGTAGACTGAAAGAGCTTTGATTTAAAAAAATTGTTTGAGCGGAAAGTGAGATATAAATTGAATAAATAAATAAATCAGAGTAATGGTAACCAAACCAGTTATATTTTAGTGCTTTTCTATTTCAATACACTTAACGGTTTTAATTAGGTAGTAATTATTGTTATTTTCAAGTATTGAGTTTTAATACTTTGGATGTTTTTTCTGTACTTTAGTAAACCATCATGAGCTAAGAAGATTCAACAGCATACAAGATAGATTACAGTGTGTGTTAACTTACCCTCTTTTTTCTTTCTCTGTTGTAATTTTTTTCTAAGAACGGTTGACTGACAACCTACGTGTTGGACGCACTTCTGCTGTAGCTGCCCAGATGTTTCTTTTTTTCAGGGTTCTTTTATTGAGAATTTCCCCTCAACACCTAACCTCTTTATGGCCAATCATGGTGACAGAATTGGTAAGTAATAATCAGGTGAATAGAAATATTTAGCAAAAACATCCTTCTTTCAAAACAGCAGTGTCCAAAGGAGCTCAGTATTAGCAATATGGCAGACATCTTGCTAATTCTGAAATCCCCACATGGATGCCATTATTTCTAATGAAACTTTATCACTACTGTTTACTAAACAGTTGATTTAAATATTTTTGAGATGTTTGTATCTCCCCTCACATGCACACAAAAAATCAAATTAGTTTTGTTCATAAGCTAAAATCAATCATTACTTAACAATACATACTAGCTACTAGCTTCCCCAACCTCTATACTGTGTTCCTAGAATTCCCAGGCAGCATGAAATTGTATTTAACAATAGAATAAGTGACATTTTAAAGAAAAAAAAATTACTAATCTATTTTTCCCTTTTTTCCTCCATTGCTCTGATCATCCAGATTCAAACATTTATACAGTTAGAAGATGATTTAACTGAAGAATCAGCAAAGTAAGATTTTTTTTCACTAAACTTAACAAAGAGAAACAAAAAATAAGATGAGCAACCTAATTTAAATAGTTAATAATGTGGTGGCAATTATGGTTGGAAATTGTTCTATTGTTTTAGAATTAAACTACAGTTCAATAGTAGAGTACAGGCCATGCAGGCTAACAGTACACCATAGAAAAAAAAATATCCCATGTTCAGTTCCTGGAACCTACACTTTGGGAGGTACTGGGTAATGGGAAAGAAAACCTTGCAGGAGAGCCTCTCACAGGCAGAACTGGCTCGGGTAAAAAAATGGGCTGCCCTGGTCTAAGGTAGCATCTTACATTCTAGGTCTTATTCTAAGACTTCACCCAATCTTTGCACAAATGAAGGAAGATATTTGTTCATGCAGTTCTAAGACTAAGCTTGGTGAATTATTATTTTACTTGTGCATTTTCTTTTTCTTTTCTTTTTTTTGTAATTTATTAACACTTGAGAATTGGCAACTTGTCATTTAACAGTCATTCATGAACACTGAATTTAAAGTGACTTAAAGGATCTTCCTAGGGTATTATACAACATTCTTCTGCCTGCAAGAAATCATTTTGAAAGGCTGAAGATATGCAGCAGTCAAGGCTAGCAAAACAATTATGTTACTAGCCCCCAAAACATTGAAGTTATATGGAATAATTTGTGCCCATTTTGTTAGCTGGATTGGAAAAGAAAGAAATGATTTTTTTGAAAATGAGAATATTATTACAAATTGTGGTATTAAGAGGAAGCAATTTTACCAAAGCTGCATAGTTTTTCCAAATGTAGCATTTTCTCCTTCATAAGAATGAACAGCAGTCAGTTCTTTATAAAGGAGAAAGTTAAGGTAGGTATTTCAGAATTATTTTAGGACAGAGACAAGCCCTGCCACAAAGGGCACAGTTTCTTGGGGACTAACTGCTTTTTGAAGTCTTGTCACTGTTACTGATAATAGCTCCTGAAGAAACAAGCTCCTATTTTTTTAAAATTAAAAATAGAAATGGTAACTTTTAAAAGGGAAATCTCTTAGCTGTTTGCCCCCATTCTGGTAAAGTTAACTCTCAGCTGTTTTTCCTTTATGTGATTCCTGATGCATGTGTACCTGTATGACAGAGTTTAATTAATTGTTCAATTAGTGTTCATGTTTTTTAAAAAGTCGCCAGGTTTGTTCTGCACTCTGATATTTCTTTTTATGGATCTCACAGAAACAACAAGAAAATGAGCAGACAGAAAGCATCATCAAACGGCAGTGCTATGTTATTTGGTGACATACACCAGAATGAATTAACCTTGTATTTATCAGCCTGTAAATTCTTAGACATGGCACTTTCTTTTCCATCTGACAAGATGCAGTTATTTCAGATGTAAGTGCTGTATTTTTATTCTTAGCCAAATAGTAGAGCCTTTGAAGGTTATATGATCTGAACACATCTCTCTTTCTACTACATAGCCGTGCCTTTTCATTAGTTTATTAGATCTAACATTTTTCTGCCACTTTGAGAGTCTGGTGAAAACTATGTGCTCCTCCTCAGAAATATGTATTTAAAGGCAAAAAATAAAATTCATAGATTGTATTACAAAGGAAATCAATTATGCTCAAATACAGTTATCATAATGTTAAAAAATAACAAATATGTAATATAACAATATATGTGAAAACAAAGTTGTATTTTTTCCCCATTCAAGTTTATAGCAGAGAATTTCTGGTTTAGAAAATGAAGGCAAAAATTAGGATTAAAATGACAAAAGCAACAAATGTATATAGACAAACTTAAAGAACATTTAGGTTTAAAGATTCTGTTCTGTATACCACATCAGTACTGTAATGGGTTTATCTTATTTTACTCTTTTTCATATCTGCAAACCAGCTTTTTAGAATTTTTAGAACTGGATTTTTCCTCTTAATCCACATGATCAAAAAATAAGGCTATGTTAGATTTCTTACCTTACAGTATGTCTGCTTTCAGGTATAGGTGGGCCTTTGTTCCAGAGGTGGACCTGCAGAGTTGCAGCATGATGGACATGATGGAAAGTCACCAGGAATGCAAACCACATGTTGCTAGAATCATGGATTTATTGAGGCTGAAATATGGGGCAAGTACTATCTTTCAGGTAACTTTCATAGCCTGAAACTCCATATTTCTTTATCAAACAGTATTTTAAATCAATATTCATGCTGCTCAGATGAACTCAAGACAGTGTAGATAACATTCCCATGTACTGAACAGACCGGCCTAGATTCAGCAATGTGCTCACTTATTTGTATATATTTGGGAAGGCACACAGTCTACTAATCCTTCTGTGGGAACTGATTCAAGTTAATTGACTAATGTGGTGCATGCCCAAATCATATAAAATGAGCAAAGTTATTCATATGTAATGCAGTATAAAGATAGCCTCTGCAGCATATATTATATGCAGCCTGAGAGTTTTTCAGGAAGACTTGGATTGTGCTACTTCAGACAATGTTTTAACAAGATAGAGTCAGAAAACACTGTTTTATTTTATGGGGACCTAAAATCACATAAAACATTTTGGTTTGTTTTAGCAGCATGTGGAAGTGTGTTTCCATAGGAGAGAGCCTTCTGAGAAAAAAAGAAAAAGCTCATAAAAGGGAAAAATTAGCTAAAAGCTAGGGTATTTTTTCAGGACAGGAGGAAGTCTTGCTTACATTCACCACTTTAGAGTGAAAATCTAAAACCATCCAAGCATTGCTTAGCTAGTGCTAGTGGAAAGGTATTTAACATTCTATTTCTACATATGTATCCCAGGTCATTAAAGGCCTGACACACACAGATAGTTACACATTAGATCTGGTTGTTATCTCAGGATAGATGTGGTGTGAGCTGTTTATCCAGCTTTGTTCTTACTTCCACAACTTGGTTCTTGCAGTTGTTCGGGAACTGTAAGTCCTAGAATACCTAGCCATGCTTCTACAGCCATTCTTTTGAATTCTCTGAGTTGTCATATTTAGACTGCTCAAAAAATGGAAAATATGGTCAATATCCTATAGAATAGGCTGTTGAAAATGTCTGTGTTCAAATGAAAAATAATGTCAAATATACTGTATATCATGGTTTACATTAAATACATGCACGCAAATGGGTACTAACAATTCATTTTTTTTTTCAAGGAACAAAATGTCAGTGATGAAGCAACAAAAAATTGTGACTTTCCTCTTCTGGATCTTCATTCTGTATCAAATATCACAGAGTTAATTCCATTCTTTAATATATTAAATTCTGCTTTTAAAGCTCAAAGTGGTAGATTACTATACACACACAGCTCCAAGTCTTTTAAAAACAGCTATCCCACTGGCAGTGGAACACGAATTTTGAAACTATTGGAAGAGTATGTTGAGCGTGATTTTATAGATAATATGGAAAATGAATCACTGTAAAACAACAGTTCTATTCATATAATCAATCAAGTTTCATTTTGCTAAAATGGTGAAATGCTTGAAGCAACATGCAACATTCCCTTGCTTTACCAAAACAAATTAGCTTGTTAAAAGAAGAATTTTTGTTTTTCAATTAAAGTAGTAGTTTAATTGAGATGCTCATTTATGAATGCAGATTTGTTGACTTTCAGTGTAAAGATAAAATGTTCCTTTCCACTAAGAAATACAATATTCTACGTTTCTCAAAAGGCAATAATAGTCTTCTAAAGTTACTTTAATTCCGCTCTAAACAACTTCTGTATAGTAACTTACTAAAACAAAATAGCAGAGTTTACATTACTCATGTTTTCTGACCCAGGAGTAGTCTATACTACTTGCAAGACTGATGTCAGCCCACTAGGCATACCATACCAGAAAATCAACTCCACAGGAATATTAAAACTAGTGTAAAATTTTATTGAGATTGGCTGTAATAGCAGAATCTTACAAGTCAGAATGTTCTGTACTTCCTTTTCCTTCTTATAGTTCAGTGAATTAGTTTGCCTGAGTCGCTTCCAAATGTTATCTCATTCTAGACTTAAAAAGTAGTTCAGCCCCTTTTGTCTAGGCAACAGATCATGCATAATCTCCAGCAAGATCATCTTCCTTATTGTGTATAGGTGGTTGACTCACAGCCTGTGGGTTATATGAAGTCCGCTCTATCCCATTGCAATCCCACATTGGTATAATCTTTTCCAATGGAATTTTAAGCCTACAGCTGCAAGCAAAAACAAATTTACTAGCAAGTAGGCTACACTAAACTTGCTTTTTTTTAGTAAATATCTTTAAGATTGTCTTCATGTTTGCATGAAATTAATTGATTTCATTAGATTTTATTCTGAAACTAAGAAAGAATTTTTTACTTGGAAGTTTTAACTAATTTAAAGCCATTGTTGCCTTTTACAGTTTGCTGAAATTGTACTTAATTGTAACAGGCTAATAAGAATGTAAAAGAATGTATGCCTAACAACTGTACAGTTCCTAAAGACATGTATATATGTACAGTATGTATGGGTTACTATGCTGCATTATAAATATCTACTTTCCAGACCTGTTCACAGGAAACATTCTTGTGCAAAAATGTGTATTTACTGAAAGTGTTGCATAAGACTGGAAGCAAATTGTTTTTTATTTAAAAACTTCTTTTGAAAGAGAACAGCTCTTAATTCCTGCAAGATTTTTGCACAAGATTTGTAATACATGAGCAGAACCAAGGATATGGAGACAGTCAAAGATGCCATGCAAGTAGCTAGAAACAGAAAAATAAAGCAAAGAATCTATATATTCAAAAACTACTACTACAGTCTGTTGTTTAAATTCATTTAATATTTAATTTTAGTTCTTTAGGTTCATAGGATTTTTTTTTAAACGTGACTCTCCTTTTTTCTCCACCTGTAATGATTAGCATTTCATTTTCTCAAATAAAATACACTGGGCAAAAGCCAGACCCAACATGAATATTTCTGTGTCCCCTTTTGGCATCCATTTAACTACTTTCAGTGAATTTTTCAAGTTTCAGATTGTGGCAGCAATTTTGGATTTAGATATTTAATGTCCAGAAATGTTTCATTTGAGAAGTTTTGCTTTTCATTAAGTGTCCACCCAAATCATAAATACCTGATATATGATGTAAAGATGTACTTATTTTAATCTTATATATTGTACATTATGTATTTTGTAAAGTTATACAAATACACTTATAATTAAAGTTTCTTTTTCATTATGAATGTATACTTATGCTCTTCTAAATGTTTTTGATCAAAGATATATTATCCACTATATAATAGATACTGTTGTGTAATACTGTGTGTTTCCTGTCATGTGGAATTTAAACATTTCCAGAATCTTTGAAAATGTTGGTAGCTCTCAGGGAAATTAGACAGTCTTTATTTGCAGTGCCAGTTGTGATGCAGGAAAATCTTCTGTATCCCTTGCTCTTTGTTTATTCTGAGGAAGTACAACTAATACTGTTTTACAATACATATAATTCCCAGATCCATTTTAATCCTCTTAATTTGAAGTTTCGTACCCTACATATGTTGTAACTTACTCTTCCATTATATCTACCACTAAGCTTTCTTTTTTTCTCTCTTCTGTTTTCTTTTCTCTTCCACCCACTTTGAACTTATTTCAGGGGCTGTATTTATCACTTTATTGTAACTTTCAGTTTATAATTTTTTATCAAGGTAGTTCAGCCTCTCTGTAAGATATATTGATGCTTGATGCCTGCAGGAGGTCATTCACTAGTTCACTGTGGAGTTTTATTCAACTTCACAAACAGTACGTTGCCTTTGTTTCTTCAGGGCCCATTTCCCCACATTCTCTATCACAAGATGCATTTCTATTAATTGGAAATTTTCCTGACCAGTTGGATTTACGATCCTTGGACTGCTATAATATTTCAGTAGATTTACTGTGCGTGACTGCACATTAATATTGGCTAATTGATTTAAATATTGATATTGGTTTCATTGTTTTGATTTGAATTTTGATTTAATTGAAACTACTGTTTTAAATTACTGATAAATGAATATCTTAGACAATGTTTTATGGCAAAAAGAAACTGGGAATGTAATTACATGTTTAAAATTGTTGCCAAAGAAGAGTTGATGCTGTATAAAGTTGGATTTAATGTTGAATGTAACTTTCATAGCAACATTATTTTGAAACACCTCTTTGAACATTAAATGTTTGTTTCTACCACTTATATTTCTTTATTTAGATTGTTCTTTCATACTGAAAGTTTTATTTCTAAATCATAACCTTTTGAAACATCCATGAACCTACATATGAACAGCTAAAAATAAATCATTTAAAAAACTAAGTTTCAACTCTAACTTGCAGTTATTTTGATAAACTATTATTAATCTTTTTTGTGCATAGTCAGAATATATGAAGAAGCATTTTACAGCAATGTATGTAATGGAATAGCAATCAATAAAATTATTTCCATCAAGGCTTGCTTGATTATTATACACTAGCCATAACCTAATGGAGTTTCATTTGCCATTGAGTATATAACAGATATTTTAATAGCATACGTGATACAGATTTGATCTCTGTATCTGAGCACATGTACAGTTTTCATATGGGAGATTAATGTATCTACTAATTGTCCTAATGGGTCACGTTCCGGTTTGTGTCAGAGTAAAAAGTTTCCTGTGAGGAACATGTAAGATATTGAAGAAATATCTAAGGACAGTCGGTGGGGGAAGGGAAGTGCAATAAATACTGCAGAAAAACTGAGAAACATACTGGCTCTGTCAATTTGAATATACAGTGGTACCTCGGGATACGAACGCCTCTACTAACGAACTTTTCGGGTTATGACCCGCTCCGGCCGCAAAAATTTACCTCGATGTGCGAACTCCGCCTCGGGGTACGGTCATTTTCCCACCCTGAACCGTGGCCCGCGGCCATTTTTCCGCCCCTGACAGGTGGTCCGCGGCCGTTCTCCTGCTGCGCCGCACCCGCTCTCCTGCCGCACCGCGTGGCGCCCGACCGTTCTCCCGCCCTGGACGTGTGGTCCGCGGACGCCAGAACGGATTAACGGTAATTACATTGAACCTTATGGGAAA